TTTTTGATGAGAAATAAATGCTGAATTAACTTTCATATTCAAAATAGCTAGTAATTACTTAATATTTTAGAATGATTTTTGATGAGAAAATAAATGCTGAATTAACTTTCATATTCAAAATAGCTTGTAATTAATTAATATTTTAGAATGATTTTTGATGAGAAAATAAATGCTGAATTAACTTTCATATTCAAAATAGGAAGTAATTAATTAATATTTTAGAATGATTTTTGATGAGAAAATAAATGCTGAATTAACTTTCATATTCAAAATAGCTTGTAATTAATTAATATTTTAGAATGATTTTTGATGAGAAAATAAATGCTGAATTAACTTTCATATTCAAAATAGGGTGTAATTAATTAATATTTTAGAATGATTTTTGATGAGAAAATAAATGCTGAATTAACTTTCATATTCAAAATAGCTTGTAATTAATTAATATTTTAGAATGATTTTTGATGAGAAAATAAATGCTGAATTAACTTTCATATTCAAAATAGTCGGTAATTAATATTTTAGAATGATTTTTGATGAGAAAATAAATGCTGAATTAACTTTCATATTCAAAATAGTGGGTAATTAATTAATATTTTAGAATGATTTTTGATGAGAAAATAAATGCTGAATTAACTTTCATATTCAAAATAGGAAGTAATTAATTAATATTTTAGAATGATTTTTGATGAGAAAATAAATGCTGAATTAACTTTCATATTCAAAATAGGACGTAATTAATTAATATTTTAGAATGATTTTTGATGAGAAAATAAATGCTGAATTAACTTTCATATTCAAAATAGACTGTAATTAATTAATATTTTAGAATGATTTTTGATGAGAAAATAAATGCTGAATTAACTTTCATATTCAAAATAGGAAGTAATTAATATTTTAGAATGATTTTTGATGAGAAAATAAATGCTGAATTAACTTTCATATTCAAAATAGTGGGTAATTAATTAATATATTAGAATGATTTTTGATGAGAAAATAAATGCTGAATTAACTTTCATATTCAAAATAGCAAGTAATTAATTAATATTTTAGAATGATTTTTGATGAGAAAATAAATGCTGAATTAACTTTCATATTCAAAATAGGACGTAATTAATTAATATTTTAGAATGATTTTTGATGAGAAAATAAATGCTGAATTAACTTTCATATTCAAAATAGACTGTAATTAATTAATATTTTAGAATGATTTTTGATGAGAAAATAAATGCTGAATTAACTTTCATATTCAAAATAGGAAGTAATTAATTAATATTTTAGAATGATTTTTGATGAGAAAATAAATGCTGAATTAACTTTCATATTCAAAATAGCTAGTAATTAATTAATATTTTAGAATGATTTTTGATGAGAAAATAAATACTGAATTAACTTTCATATTCAAAATAGTCGGTAATTAATATTTTAGAATAATTTTTGATGAGAAAATAAATGCTGAATTAACTTTCATATTCAAAATAGGACGTAATTAATTAATATTTTAGAATGATTTTTGATGAGAAAATAAATGCTGGATTAATTTTAATATTTAAAATAGAGTGTAAAATTTATATGAGGAAGAGGTGAATAAATTATGTTATTTGAAAATAGAATGTAATAAATATATTAAAGAATGATTTATAAATAATAATCTAAATAATAAATTAGGGAGTAATATTGTTTGATTATTTTTTTATAGAAATTACTGATTAAAAATTATTTAGTATTAACAAGGAGTCGTAATAATTTTAGTGGTAAAAACAATAATTAATGAGCAAAATAAAATTTTGAAAAGGATGTAATAAAATATTTGTGATTTTGAAGTATCAAATAGTGAAAAAATGAGTTTATTGTATGAATTAGTGGGTATGAATTATCTTTTAACATTTTAAAATTTAAATTATTGTATTTTTAATATTTGAAAAATAGATAGTAATTTTTGATTTTAAAATGCTAATAAATAGATAAATAAAGATTTAAAATAGCATGTAAATAAATATTATCTTATATTATTATTAATAATAATAAAATAATTAATATTTAAAAAAGAAAGTAAATTTTAGACAGTAATTCAAATAAATAAGATGAATTGAATTAAATAATTAAAATAGAGAGTATATTTTGAATATTTTTATTGAAAGAGGCTAAATAAATTATTTTTAAAAAGCGAAGATTGGTCGTAAATAATTTTAAATAAATTTTTGAGAAATAAAAACAACCTAAACATAATAAATAGGAAGTAATGAAGTTGAACATTGTTTCAGGAATTAAAAAATTAAACTTGATAATTAAAATAGAGAGTAATATTATAAAGTGCATTTAAAGATTATTCGAAGATAAATTATGATTTTAATTTAAATAGAGAAAATCAGTAAAAATATTAAAATAAGGAAAAATATAGTTACATAAAATAAATAAAACATTAATTAGCATGTAAATAATTCATAAAATTATTTTAGAAAAGTAAAAATATATTAAATAAATAAATAAAATAGGATGTAATAATAATCTTTAATTATATCAGATTTCTAATTTTAAATTGATTATTACTTAATAGGATGTATTACTTTACAATTTATCTATCATATAATCAATACTTTTGAAACAGATTGTAATATTTATTAAAACTTGCTCTCTTATAAACATATATTCATTTATTACTTCAACGAAATAGCTAGTAAAGATTTTATTATTTTTTTATAAATACTATACTTATTTATTTATTTGTAAATAGTGAGTAATATTTTTGAATGACTTTAAATAAGAAGAAAAAGAAATATTCTAAATAGGACGTAAAGCTTTTATGTTAAATTCCACTCTAAAATAAATACTAAATTATTTTATTTCTATTATAGAGAGTATAGTCATTCAATGACATTTTATCAAAATATTCTAAAATATCTTCAACTTTAAAATAAGCGATTGGTACTTTTTAATTTTAGCATTTTTTATATTTAAATAAAATGACTTAAATAGGGAGAAGTAAAGATCAGTCTAGTTATCCTCTTGGCTTGATATTATATTTAGTTTTATTAAAAATAAATAAATAATAGACAGTAATTTTTTAATAACAATTCATAATCAAGATCTATGAAATAATAAATTAAAATTAATAAAAAAGAATGTAATAACTTAATTAAAATCTAATTCAAAAATACAAATTAACACTTTAAATAGCGGGTAATCTTTTTAATAAATAGTATCAAGAGATATTTATTTTCGTTTTTTATTTAAAAAAGCAAGTAACAAACAATCATTTGCTGTTTTAACTTTACAAACCACACCTTAACTTTTAAATTTAAACAGAGTGTAACTTTTATCATAAAATTTATTCTAAATATCTCAATAATTTTATTAATCACAGATAGTAATATATTTTGCTTTATTTATTTATTAGAATATCAAATATAATATTACATTTTTAATAGCCTGTAAACTTTTATATTTATTTCTTAAAATATTAAATACATTTAACTTTATTATATTAATAAGTGGGTAGTTTTATCATCTTATAGTAGACCTTCTTCTAATTTTTTACATCCTTAATAGCAAGTTATTTTTCTAAAATTTTTATAGTTTTGAGATTTCAATCAATTTTTTAATTTAAAATAGATAGTAATTACATTAATATTTTAGAATGATTTTTGATGAGAAAATAAATGCTGAATTAACTTTCATACTCAAAATAGCATGTAATTAATATTTTAGAATGATTTTTGATGAGAAAATAAATGCTGAATTAACTTTCATATTCAAAATAGCAAGTAATTAATTAATATTTTTGAATTTTTTTTGATGAGAAAATAAATGCTGAATTAACTTTCATATTCAAAATAGGAAGTAATTAATTAATATTTTAGAATGATTTTTGATGAGAAAATAAATGCTGAATTAACTTTCATATTCAAAATAGGGAGTAATTAATTAATATTTTAGAATGATTTTTGATGAGAAAATAAATAAATTCTGAATTAACTTTCATATTCAAAATAGATTGTAATTAATATTTTAGAATGATTTTTGATGAGAAAATAAATGCTGAATTAACTTTCATATTCAAAATAGCTAGTAATTAATTAATATTTTAGAATGATTTTTGATGAGAAAATAAATGCTGAATTAACTTTCATATTCAAAATAGTTGGTAATTAATTAATATTTTAGAATGATTTTTGATGAGAAAATAAATGCTGAATTAACTTTCATATTCAAAATAGGGAGTAATTAATTAATATTTTAGAATGATTTTTGATGAGAAAATAAATGCTGAATTAACTTTCATATTCAAAATAGGGAGTAATTAATTAATATTTTAGAATGATTTTTGATGAGAAAATAAATGCTGAATTAACTTTCATATTCAAAATAGGGAGTAATTAATTAATATTTTAGAATGATTTTTGATGAGAAAAGAAATGCTGAATTAACTTTCATATTCAAAATAGGGAGTAATTAATTAATATTTTAGAATGATTTTTGATGATAAAATAAATGCTAAATAAAGTTTCATATTTAAAATAGATAGTAATTAAAATTTTAGAATGTGGTTTGACATGAAAATAAAATCTAAATATAAAATAGTGAGTAAAATTGAATAAGAGTTGATAACAAGAAATTAGAGAATAAAATAAACTTTGATAAAACAGATGGTAATTATTAGTAGAATATAAATAAGACAGATGGAAAATAAGTTTAATTTTGAATATGCAGCGAGTAATATTTTAGAAGAATAATTTTGATCTTATTAAAATGTATGAAATAGATAGTAATATTTTTGAAAGATACTAATTTAGAAGTAAGAATCAATTAAAATATAAAACAGTGAGTAAGTTAAAAAAATAATTGGAAAAATGTAACTAACTAACTAACTAACTATATTAATTCTAAACTAGATTGTAAAATATTTGAATGATCTAAAAAGAATATTTAAAAAAATAAAAAATGATAATGAATAGATTGTAATACTTTAAATAATTTTTGATGAAACACATTAAAGAAATACAATTATAAATTTAATTAAAACAGATGGTAATAATTAATCCTATTAAGAATCTAACATTTGAATATCTATTACTTACTTATTTATAAAGAAAGTAAAATTATTTATAAGAAAAATATATTTTCTGACAATACCTTTGAATAAAATAAATAGGGTATAATACTTTGAAAGATTTAATAACAAAAGAGCAAGATTAAAGAGCGTTTATAAAAATATTAGAAGGTAATTTATTTTATTTCAAATAAATTTATAATTTTCATTTAATTGAAAAATTAATTTAAAAAAACAATAAAATATAAATCATTTTTTTGCTTTTAAAAAGTGATGAGGCACATAATATCTGTTTGTTAGATTCAGGCAACACAGTTTAAGAAATCAGAAATGCACTTTTTTTTATATTTATTTTCTTGTTTCTTAAATAAAATAATAGGTTGAACTATTATTAATAAATATTAAAAATAATATAAATTTGTGAAATAGATTTTTATGTTTTCTATATTAATTGTAGCTTCAACTTTTAATTTAATCTTTTTTTTTTAAACATGAAAAAAAAAACAACTGTTAAAATTTTATTTTTAAATATTTTTTATTAACTGGTTAAATAAGTTAACTTAATAAACAATTATATTTACTTATTTTTAATTTAATTGAAGTGTTGATGTAAATTTCCCTTTTTTTTTTTGAAGGGAGAAAACAATTTAAATATTGATATTATTTTAAATAGTATCAATAAAATTTTATAAGTGGAAGGTTTCTAACTTTTAATAGAGTCAAATGTATTTAAAATTTTGGATCATTGCTATTAAAAAAATATTAAGTTTAATACCAAAAAAAAATCTTTAAACACAAAAGCTTAACATAATTTTTTTTAACAAACAAAATGTCATATTTTGTTTTCAATTATGATATTTTTTTAATATCAATAATACAAAATTTAAAATACATTTGACTATAACTTATTTGAAAATAAACTAAAATAAATTAATAAAATTCTTTAAGAAAAAACTTAAAATATTTTTTTTTCAAATTAAACCAAAATATTTTGTTCTGATTGATAGCTTACTAATTTATTTTAGTGTAAGTTAACTTATAAAATATAATGATAACTTTTAAATAAAGTAGCTAAGAAATATTTATTATAAAATTTTAATAAACTTAATTGATAAGCTAAAATAAGCAAGAAATTAACCAATTAAATTTAATTGACTAAATACATTTCTGTAAAATAAAAAATGGCTTGAAAAATTCCAACTATTAATTGATTCTAAAAATAATTAAAAACAAACATCAAAACTAATTTTCTAGGCAATTTAAATTTCTATTTAAAAAAATACTTAAATTTCTTAGATCATAAAAACCATTTTAAAAATATTTTTAAGTAATTTATTTTTTTTTTAATTAAATATAAAAGAATTAGATTTGATTTTCAATTTAAAAGTCGGCATGGTGAAATAGTAATTACGATGGCATCACAGAATATTTTAAATCTTCTATACTAGGTCCTAATCCTAGTGTCGTTGAATTTTTTCAAATCTAAATTATAAAAAAGAATTTGTTTGATATATAATGCTATTTAACATTTTTCAAATTTTATCTTCAAGTAACAAAAGAAAATTTAATATTTTAGAAATTAAATAAATTTTTAACATTTAAAATAAATTATTCATTCAAAGATAAATTTTAATTGCGCAATTTTTTTAATGTTTGATTTTGTGCATAAATTAATAAATAAAATTAATTTGATAGTTATACTATATATATAAAGCGAAATTAATAATAATATTTTTTTTATCTTTTTAAATCCTTAATTATGCTTTTTATTTTTATTTAGATGAAGCTGTTTACTTATTAGAATTATATATATATAATAGATTTTAGTTAAAAATAATAAATTGACCTTATTATTAAAATATTTGTTTGATTATTTTATAGATAACACTCAGAAAAATCTTAATTTCAAATTGTTTGTTTTTATCTAGCAAGTAACGAATAAATAGGCTTTAATTTTTTAATGACAATTTTGATTTGAATTTGTAATATGATTTATTTATTATATTTATACTAAATACTGATTATTATTAGTTAACACAATTTTTGAGATATAATATATAAAGCAATGTATAAATCGTCTAATAAAAGTTCATTTAATACTTCTTACTAGGAAAATTATAAGCAAATATAACCAAATCACTCGTAAAACTGCAGCTAAAAAGAATAGAAGTCAGCTTAGTAGGATCAAACCCAGTTGCTTGTTTGGGGATGTAGTTATTTGCATTTATATTTTATAAAAATTAACCAATCTGTTTATTAAATATTTGTTTTTTTTTAGATGATTCACATGGATAATTGGGTCTTGGCTAAAAACAACAGGGTAAAATTTAAATAATTATCAATCAATAAAGGTTGATTAGAATTATTTTTTAAAAGGAGGGAATTGCTACTTTTCGCCAAAGTTTTGCTGCTTTAACATTTCAATTTAGTAGATTTCTTGCGGTTTAGAGCACTCAGCTTTTCTTGCTCATAATGGAAATGTTTATATGATAGGTAGTAATAAACAAGGTTAACTAGGTATAGGATCAAAGGAGACATTATCTAGGTCTGTGCCTGTTTTGCTGGAATCGCTAGGAAAGTAAATTAATTTAAATTTACATTTTAACACATTTTTATCTTTGTTTTGTCTAAAAAATATCAAAAAAATTAAAAAAGACATACTATTGTTAAAGTATCTTGTGGTGGAGGTCATAGCGGAGCTATAAGCAGCAGGGGATTTGTATTTTTGTGGGGAGAAGGAATCGAAGGCTAATTAGGCACTGGAAAGCAAGAAAACATTTATTCCCCGACTCAATTGGAAGTATTTAGCTGTAGAAACATAAGCTGTGGCAAAAAAAATACCATATTATTATCAGGTTTAATATAATTCTTTGATTAATAAATTAAGTATTCAAATTAATTTATTTGCATCAAAAGGATAAAAGGCATATGGATTTGGAGACTGTAGACAAGGCTAGCTTGGTACTGGAAGGAGAGTAATTGAGTATTGTCCTGCTGAAATACCTCTTCCATCATTTGAAGGACATCTAAAATCAGTCAGCTGTGGTGATAATCACACGCTTTTTCTAACAGACCAAGGAGAAGTATTTGCTTGTGGTAACAATTCTTTTGGCTAACTAGGAACTGGCTAAGAGGTTAAATCGAGTCTTTATCTAACTAAAATTCGCATAAAATAATAACACCAAATATCTTCTAATCTTTATAACTCAAGAATTATTTCTGTTAAGGCTGGATATGCTCCTTCTTCAATAGCTCTTACAGATGACGGGAGATTGTATTTTATTTTTTAGAGAAAATTAATATAAAATAATTATATAATTTATTATTTATTTGGTTTATTTGTTTTGTTAATTTTGAATATTTTTTTAGGTATGTTTGGGGCACAGCTTTCTTTGGGTATTTTGATGAGCCATAATTAATTTAGACTGATGGCATTTTTTGGAAAGGATTCAGTTAAGGGAATAATTTTATTTGTCTGACAGATGATTAAGGAAAAGCTTATTCTTGGGGATAAAATATCAATGGAGAATTAGGTTTAGGATTGCATCCAAGCCATCAATAATAAGCTTATCCTTAGGAAATTCAAATAAATATGGAAGATAAATATGTTAAGAAAATAGAATGTGGATAACACTTTTCATTTGCAGTATTGTCGAATCGATAGAATATTGTTAATAATACATTTAATAACGAGTAAGAAGATATTTGCAGTCAATTTAATTCACATAAAAATTCATTCATTTCAAGTTAGCATAGAACTTCAATTAACAAAAAACATTAAATGCTCGCTGAACAAATCAACTAATTTTCTTAGTAAATTTAAAAATTCTAAAGCGACTATCCCTCTGTTCTAAACAAGAATTAAATATAAGAAAATAATCAAGAAAATGAATTTAATTTTAATAATAATTATTATTAATAAACTGATTAGATTCAATAAAAAAGGTAAAGTACCAACAGTAGCTTTAGCTAGAATATTTTACAAATAGATTCGTTCGAAGAATAAAATAAAGTTTTCGATAATTAGCAAATTAAAAAAAACAACAGAAGCATAAGTGCTTGCTTAAATAATGGCTAAAATAGATAACAATAAGAAATTTAACAAAAAAAGAATTTAAGATTAAATACCCAAGGTAATAATGCTTTAATTGAAAGGTGTGAAACAGAATAAGTTAAGCAGATGTCGAATAAAAACTAAGGAATGATCAAATTAGATCAAATTTTACCAAATTATTTTACTAATCACAGAGTTCTTACTGAATCAGCAGACTTTTCTGTCAAAAATATCAATAGATTCTAAAGTAATCAATAAGTTAATGTTGTAAGTTAAAGCATCCCTGGCAATTTCAAGCAAGAAGCTATGCAAAGTAACCTAATTAACATGAAGCATAATGAATCTATTCAGTTAAGTTAACCTTATAAAAATTAAAGTATCGATCATCATATATAATATAATAATTAAGATTAAAATATTTTAAATTTAAGTGAAATTGCATTTAATTAATCAGAAGTATTGAAAGAAAACAATTCTAATTTATAAAATAATTGTTAACTATAAAATGAATAATTGACATGCTTAAAAGATGTCTTTGACAAAACTTCTCAAAGCTTTTATTAACAACAAAATCAAATCAACAGCCAAATTCAATATTCTTAAAACAAAATTGATCATCTACAATAATAAAACAACTCATTTGTGGGAAAAATCTAAGACATTCAATTAAAATATGATTTGATCTAAAAGCAGTTAGAACAATCCTAATAAGAAAACAAATCGCTTAAAAAATAGCTCTCAGAAGAAAAAAATAAAAATGTAAACTTATAAATTAGAGTTGATCACCTCACGAAAAAAAGCAAATCATTGCAAAAGAAAAATGAACTACTACTCCTTGAAATAGATATGAACAAAAAAACCTACGAGATGAAGTGTGAAGCTTTGCTCAAATAAATTTATAATTATCAAAGTTTAGAAACAATTTAAGATAAAGGTAATTAATAGCAGCTTAATTAAATAAATCAGCAATATGAAACTCTACTTGAAAATTTCATAACGATTAATGAAAATGGATAGAACAATAATGTCCTTGATATTTCCAATTCCTAAGTGAAAAACATGCAAACGTTTGCTGATCCGGTAGATGATAAAGAAAACATTTAAATGTAAAAAATATTGTTTATTTATTATTTAATTTATTCTTTATATTTCCAATATATAAAAAGGAACAACTAATTTGTAAAGTAAGAAAACAATTCGAAGCTTTCTAGCCAGTTTTAAAGCAGCAAAGTATCTGTTTCACAGGATTTTATAAAT